TTTATATTAAACGAATGGCCTAAAGATAAACAAAGAAAAAAAGCATAAAAAGAAACTTTTTGTCTACCAATGTGCAAAAAGGTGGCGACCGATTATATCTATGCCCCCAATTGTACCAAAATAACGGACAGACAGAGCAGTTAGAGACGCAGGACTAGGCGCCGATAGTATACCCAATGAAAACACAAGTACGGGAAGTACTCCAGCACCACAAAACAGGGGAAGTCCTTTTGGCAGATGTATTAAGGGAGAGGAGCCTAACAATACATCTGCAAAGAAGGGTAAAAAAAAGCAAGAAGAAAAAAGATATTAAAGATTTAAGAAATTTTAAAAATAAAATAGAGGGCCAAGTATTGGGGGATGTCTTGGTACCTAAAAATTTAGATAAAGATAAGGAATTTTTGCTAAACAATGATATATATGCTAAGAAGAAAGTTGTTGAAAAAGATGTGGTAGATGAGGTGATAATAACAGGTTGTAATTTAGATGCAAATAAAGAATTGACTTGTAATATTAAGGAGGTTAAAAAAAGTGAATATTAGATACTACAGATTTTAGGACTTTAATTAAAGATACAAATACCAAAAAGGTAACATTCATTGATGAAATAGAGGTTTATTGTTATGAACAGGAGATAGTCAAAGAGAAAAATGATAAACGATTAAATACAAAGAATAATGAAGGTTACCTAGCCAACGGAATTGTAGAATCACCTAAAATTGTTGTAAGTTCAATTGATACTGCCATTGGTAATTCAAATAAAAATGTTGTAAATGATGAATCTAATGTAGTTGGTAATGTAGAGAGTAGGCTTAAAGGACTTCTAGATAAATTTGAGAATTTGAAGTGTGAAATTGAAAATTAAGAGGTAGAAAAAAATAATATTGGTAATATTTCTAATCGAAGCTTTAATTTTACTAAACTGAAATCATTTTGTAAACAAAAATCTATACTATAGAAGTTTATTATCATCATCATCTATGTATATAAAAAGTTTGAATCTTATAATTTTTTTATTTTTTAACCCTTCTTTTTTCAAATTTTGGAAAACGTTTTTTTTAA